TTAAAACGAAAATTTTAAACATTGTCATTTTCATTATCATAATTACTTACATTCATTAGATCGAACAATCATACATTTCTTCATGTACATATTTAAATTTACATTCACATTTTACATTCATTCATTTCATTATACGTTTAACATTCATATACTATATAGAAAAAATTAAAATAATTCCTAATACAAATATATTAAATTATTTCTGAATTCACTAATTTTGTTGCGAAAATAAATTATTCGCTTCTTGATATTCTCTTATTAATCGTTCTTCTACTTCTGGTGAACAAGGTGTATATCTTGCATATTCCATAGTAAATTCTCCTTTCCCTTGAGTAGTAGATCGCAATTCGCCAATGTATCCAAACATTTCGTTTAATGGAACTTCTGCTTTTAATGTACACCATCCTTCATTGTTATCTGTATTAGTCATGATACCATGTCGTTTAGAGATTTGAGCAGTAACTATACCCTTTAATATAATAATATAAATTAATATAAAATATAATTTATTGTTAAGTAATAGAAAAATATATATATATTCTTATTTACTTGAAATTCCACAGGAGTAGTTATTTCAACTGACATAATTGGTTCTAAAATTTGCCATGATCCTTTTAAAAATGATTCTTTCATTGCACCTTCTGCAGCGAGAAAAAATGCTAATTCTGAAGAATCCACGATATGGTGCATACCATCAAATAATGTAAATTTAACACCTGCTATTTTATGACCAGAGAGATATCCTTTTTCGCACATGGTTTTAAATCCTCTTTCTACACCAGGAACAAATTGTTTTGGAACATTTGTTCCTATTGTTTTATCAAGAAATATAAGTTCAGTATTTTTTTCTGTCGGTAATGGCTATAAAAATAATATTGTAAATAAATGTAAATAATAAATATACAATACAGATATAATAAATATAATGTTATTCAAATAAATCAAATTATTACTTCTAATATTCCAATTATACGTGCATATTGCCCAGCTCCTCCTGTTTGCTTTTTATGCAGATAATCAAATTCGATAGGTTCACGTAATGTTTCGCGAAACGAAACTTTTGGTTTTCCAAGTATAATAGGACAACCATATTCACGTTCAAGTCTTTGAGCATATATTTCTAAGTGTAACTCTCCCATTCCAGAAATTAAAGATTCCTAAATCATAGTATTGTATTATAGTTTTCTCAAATTCATTTATATATATTCAATATATTAATACATATACAACATATACATATACAACATTTTTCATATTTTACCTTATTATCTGTATCATAATAATATTTTAAAGTAGGATCTTCTTTGGTAAATCGTGCGATACCTTTTGAAAAATTATCCCGATCTTTTGAATTTTTTATTTGAATAGACATCGATACTACAGGCTCAGGTATATAAATAGATTCCATTGATAACTTTAGATTAGAATTATTGACAAATGTATCACCCGATGCACAATCTATTCCAAACAAAGCAAAAATATCCCCGGCATAAACTTCAGATACATCTTCCATTTGATTTGAGTGAAGTCTTACTAGTCTTTGAATTCGAACCTAAAAAATATTATATAAAAATTTTATTCTTAATATAAAAGTTATATTACAATCATATACGAACTTTTTTATTTGTTCTTGTATTAATTATAGTATTTCCTTTGCTTATCATTCCTTGATAACAACGAAAATAAGTTAATTGACCAAATTTTCCAGCTTCTAATTTAAATGCTAATCCAATAAAAGGATGTTTGTTACTTCTTTCAGAATTTAACAAAATTTTAACAGTTTCATTTCTATAAATAACAATTCATTATTATTCATTAAAAAAGTAATTATAATTAAATAATTCAAAAGCAACAAATAAATAAGAAACTCACTTATTCTCTTGAAGTGCATAGTTTTCAACTTCTCCAGGATTTGGCAGATAGTTTATAACTGCATCTAATAATGGTTGAACACCTTTATTTTTTAAAGCAGTTCCAACTAGAACTGGTACAAAAGTTCTTTTTATACAACATCTTCGAATAGCATCTATTATATCTTTTTCAAAAATTTGTATTTCATTTAAATACATTTCTCCAAGATATTCATCAACATTGCTCAAGTGTTCAATTAACTCTTGTCTTTTTTCTTGTGTTTCTATATATAAAATATGTTTGATTTAACATTTAACACAATTTAACTTAAAACATGATATTTTTTGTATTTTCTAAAATATTAATAAATTAAATATTTTACACTTATGATTCATCTAGAGATTTAGTAAGATATGACATTTTGTGAATTTAATATTAATTGAATAATTTATAATTATACTATATCTCTAGATGAAATATATATTATATACCTGTTCTCATGTCTGATGGAATTTCATCTTCTCTTACAACTTCACCAAAGTTTCCTTCAAAATATAAAGCTTTTTGATTAATTAAATCTATTATTCCTTTATTGTTATTTTCTAAACCAATAGGTAATTGTAAAAATGCAGCATTAAGATTTAATTTTCCTCTTAACTGTTTCAAGATTCTCTTATGATTAGCACCTAATCTGTCCAATTTATTAATAAATGCTATGCGAGGTACATTATACCTTCTCATTTGTCGATCTACAGTTATTGTTTGTGATTGTACACCACCTACTGCACATAATACAAGTATAGCTCCATCTAAAACACGTAAAGATCGTTCTACTTCTACAGTAAAATCAACATGACCAGGAGTATCAATAATATTAATATTATGATCTTTCCATAGAGTGTAAGTTGCAGCAGATTGAATTGTAATGCCTCTTTGTTTTTCTAATTCCATACTATCCATTGTTGCTCCAACATTGTCTTTACCTCTCACCTATAATAAATATTTTATTATAATTAAATAAAAAATTTATATTCTAGCATATTGAATAATAATAATAATACAAATTAAAATTATTTTTTTTTTACCTCGTGCATTTTAGTTATTCTTCCAGTATAAAATAATATTCGTTCTGTTAAGGTGGTTTTTCCAGAATCAATATGTGCTGATATACCAATATTTCGAATTTTTTCCAATGATTTATGTTCTGCATATTTTGCAAATGATGATAAAGATTGTAAATTGTTCTATTAGATATTCAATAATATAATTAATTATATAAATAACCTTAAATGATTGTTAAACAATTTAAATTTTGCAGGTTAGAATACTTACTTTTGAAAAATAAGAGTAATAAGTTAAAAATGATTTTAAATTGATATCATGTCTTAAAACTGTTATTATAGACATAATAATTAAGTATTTTATAATATACTTTAATATTTAAGAAAATAATTTAATAAAGAATAATATATATCGAAAATTCTTGGCAATTGAGCATAATCGGATATATCCGAACAATCATGAAAATATATATTTTATGAATATTAATAATAATAAAAATATTTATTATGTATATCTTAACATTCAGTAGATAAAAAATTTTAGAAATAATTTTATTATTTTTTGTGTTATATTATTTATTTTATTTTTTCACATTATTATTATAATATGACTTATCTTAACATAAATACTGCATACTGTAACATACGATTGTAATTTTATTAAAATAAAACATAACAAGCTTATTTAATATATATATTAAAATGTTTATATACTACAAATATTTACATTGAGCTTACAGAAAGTATGAATTTTGTGCTTAGATAATTATAATTTTCATTCAAATGTAAAATCCATTTTTATATTGTTTTTAATATTATGTAATTATATTTTGTGATTTATATTTTTTTTTGTAGAACATACAAGGTATCTGAAGAAAAAAAAAATTATATACTAGAAGGGATAAATTTACAATTTTTTTTTTCTAATGCTCAGAAATATGTCAATAAACTTTAATATTTTTATTTATCGCATATTTCCATAAACAATTAACATCAATTTTTTTGGAATAATTCATATGTATAATTCATAAGAATTATAAATACATAAAATAATTATGTGCTGACAATGAGAATTATAATGTACATTCACTATGTATCAAAATACATTCCTAGTGAATTTCTTATCTCTAGTTTGAACATATGAAACATTAATATTAACATTGATATAAGATTTATGAATAGATATTTATTGTGAAGGAAAAAAAATCCTTCAAGCATAAAATATACTTATAAGAATCAAGTAATTAATTGAATATCCCCTTTAATATCTTAATGTTACTTTAGTACTTTTTCTTTCTCTTTTTTATTTTTTATTCTTTTTTTTTATTTTTTTTATTTTCTCTAATATTTAAATTTTCAAAATGCATTCCTAAATACATTTAAGAGTATAAAATCCTATTTATCATTACGTATATTTTCTCTGTACATACATATATTCAAGCTGAAATTATAATACAGCTTAATTTATGTTGATTTTTAAAAACATTTACAAATATGTTAGTACTCTATTCAATTAAAAGCAAGTAACATTTTTGGTATTAAATTTAGTCGGTGAATGTTTGTCATCGCTATCACCAAGATCCATACCAAACGGTACCGAATTCCAAATAGCTTTGTCATTTCGATCATTTTCTTCGCTCAAAATATTGCACATCATACGATCGTCATAAAGAGAAAATCTAGCGGTTGATTGTCCACGACCGCGAATTTTCCTTACTGAAGGTGGTAAATCTCCCGGTGTTTTTATTCTCATATGTGGATCTTTTAACACATTTACATTAGATCCTACATTAAAAACTTCGTTGAATTTATCGATGCTTTCTTGTCTATTAATATTTTCACTTTTTTTATTTCTTAAATTTACAAGGGGTAGGGTAGATGGTCGAGTATTTGTATTATTATCATTATCAAATTTTTGTTTACCAATTTGTATAGCATTTTTATCATTTTTATCTAACGTAGAAGTAAAAGCAGGTGTTTTAGTAATAATACCATTCACATATTTTCCTGCCGGAGATATCGTTACATTAGTTTCTACAGTTTTGATCTGTACGTTCTGTTTTGACAATAAATTGGATTTAGAATCCTCTCGATCTATTTGATATTTATTATATGGATACATTTTCTTATTAACAAGTAATTTTTTAAAATTTGACCATCCGAATAATTTTTTTCTAGGACTATCTTGCGAACAAATCTCATGTATATTTGTTTGTTTCCTTTTACCATACGATGATGTACCATCATCCGAAATAACATTTTGAACATATGGTATAGGTGTAGCTGGTCTCAATTGAGATAATTGCGTTGTGTGTTGACTCAAATAATCATGAGAAACAAGTCCTTGTGCTTCTGATACAATTCTATATTGATCATTACATGTATGTTTCATAGATTTATCAACAAGTACATTACCATTACATTCCAAATCTTCAAGTGAATCCGACTGTAACATTAAATTTCTTTCCATACAAGGATTTCGTCCTTGATAAGGTTGAAGTGTTTGAGTATGATTATATATTGCTATTTCATTTGAATTTTTAACTAAAATATAGTAAAAAGTTATATTATAATAATGAATTTTAAAATCTATAATATAATCTTAATAAAATACTTACAGCTATGCTCATGGATAATGCTTTCAGAAGGTGATAATGTTACCAGATTTTCAACAACGCCGCCTTCGTTGCTCGAACTATCTTGTGCTACCTGTGATATAAGTTGAGTGGCGTGGATATTGTCATGATGTGAAGATTCACTATAAAGACTATTTGTGGTTGAAGGCACTAGAGTACAATGGGAGTTTACCATTGGACTTCCATCAGTAAAATGTATTGTTACTAAAAATTTATGAATTATTTTTTTCTTTTAATATATATGTATATATTATATAATGACAATATAATAAAGATTACCTCGATGAGATTGTAATTCTGAAAGGCGTTCTTCTATACATAAAGCAGTTAACCGAGCTTCTGCATCTGCATCCCAACAATCTTCCATTGTTTCTTTAATCAAACGTACTCCTGGCCTATCCACTAAATTACCTTCTAATAGAGGTCTTGCTTTATTACGAGAAACTAAAACTTGCATTTGTTCAAATGTTGGATGAAGACCAATTTCTTTCTCATATGGTTGTCTATAGGGAGGTACTTCAGATCCTAATACGTAAATATCCGAGCATCTTGAAACTAATTCCCATATTACTAAACCCATTGCATAAACATCTATTTGTTTTAAAGAACTTTCGCAATCTCGTAAATTTACAGCACCTTCCAATATTTCTGGCGCCATATATCTCAAAGTACCGACCTAATTTAAATATAAAAAATACATAATTATAAATTATTTTAAATATTATACATTTTTTTATATTAAAATTATTATCATCAAGATATTACATCATTGATTGATTTTATTTCGGCATGTTGTGCTTCTCCATTTGAATAATATTTAGATCCAGAAATTTGAACTGCTAATCCTAAATCACATATACAGCAAGTACCATCAGCTTTGATTAATATATTTCTTGAATTGATATCTCTATGTGCAATGCATGGCTTAAATTTATCTGCAAATTAATTTTTTAAGAATATTTTTCGATTTATCCTAAAATATTTTTTGTATCTTTTACTTACCACCTTTATGTATATCAGTATGTAAATAAGCAAGACCTTTCACCATAGAAAGACCCATTTTACAAAATGTAGCCCAATCAATCATATGTGTTCTTAAAAAATCTGTTAAAGTACCACCTGGTGCAAAACTAAGTACCAAAAGATATTCAACACTACCTTCCATACTAACTCTTTCATCCACACCTAAATAAGGATTATAAATATTTATTATTATTATTAATATTTTAACACTATTTCAATAAATGATAAAATATTGTTTGAAAATAAAAAAAAATATTAACCATAGTAACTTAAAAGAGATGAGTGTTCCATAAAGGGAAGACAATAAGTATCTCGTTCATTTTGGAAATAATTACGATAATGAGAAGGAAATATTTTTACAGCAACATCTTGATCTCCCATGCTGCCTTGCCATACAGAACCATAGCGACCTTGACCTGAAATTATATAAATATATTAAAAACATCTATTTTATTATAGATCTATTTTTATATAATTATAATTAATAAAGAACATACCTACAATTGTTGTAAGTTTCAAATGATCTACTGTATAAGTACCAGTTCTTAATGCTGTACTATCCATAAATTGATCTGTATAAGAAAGTGGTTTTCCTAATCTTGCTAACATATTATTATGATATATACGATATATCATTAAAGCTATAATACATATTACTAATAATATGCATAATAAAACACTTGTTATAATAACAATCCATCTTCCAGAATCTGATTGCTCCAAATATTGAGTTGCTGTAAGATTTCATAAAAAAAAAAAAAAAATATTATGCACAATAAACTTATAAATTAATATAGAATATTATATTTTATGTCATGAATCCTTACTAGGCTGATTATTTTCTGCAGAAATAGAAGTATGTGCATTATTCTCAGAATATAAAGTATTAGTACTATTGATATTAAGATTACAATAATCTCCATGGCAGCAACAAAATTTTGTATTATTCAATGCTTTAGTGGAGCTTTGAAGGGCAATGCATTCTGTTGTTTCACATTTTTGTTCACCAGACTGTTTCCAACAACCTAAATTATTATACATAAAAATATAAAATCATAAAAATACAATATCATAAATTATTGAATGAATTATTATATATACCTTGAGATAAAATGATAATTTTAGTTCCATTTGCAGTCTTTTCCTCTTGCCATAATGCATGACAAAAATTAGTACATGTTTCAAATTTAATATTATCATTTTTCTGTAAAAAGTTAAATTATTTTATTTAAATATATCTAAAAACTAATTTATCTATAATAATATTATATAAAACATATTAATATTAAACTTACTGCAGTATGAATTATATTACTGTCATTGAGAAAATCTTCAGGTACACTAGGTGTATTTTGTTTTAATGGAAAATTTTCATTATTCTTTTTCCTACTGGCACATATTCTAATGGCACTGATGGGTACTGAGTTTATCCCATATAGTAGTACGATGAATGTAATTGATACAATGGCTTTCATTGTGCCTCAGCAGGCCTCTTGAACTTGAACACTTCAAAGGAAGCGTTGCTTCTCAAGAACTGGCATCTTTGATTATAACATCATATATTGCTGCCATGTGCACAATATAATATATTCATCTGTTTATTATATATGATTCAAATATATTTATTATAATAATAAGATTATTATAATCATGAGATTTTAAAGGAAAAGATAAAAACATATTTTTTTTTAACAGAAATAAAAAACTAATTTATTAAAAGATTGTTTAGATATTAAAAAATTGATATAAATACTAATAAATAAAAGAAAATAAATGCAAAATATTAATATATTACAAATTTTTATTCTGCAGAGGAAAAAGAAATTTTATTAGTAGTGCAAGTATTAGTAAATAATATAAATTATAAATTTCACGGAATTTTCCCGTAAGAATTATTACAGCGATAAGAGTACAATAAAAAAAAAAGTAATCGCAAAAAATTAATTTTATATAATTATACGAGAAAGACTGAAATTTTCATGAAATTGAATATGCTGCACATGTAGATGTATATAAAAAGAATCATAATACATGCTGTAAAAAAAATAAAGAATTATAAAATGAAAAAGAAAAAAGTTTCGCAGGATGCATTACAAGCAAATTAAAAGTGTACTTACATTTTAAGGAAGAGGCTTTTCAAATTTTTTAATTGAAAATTTTGAAAAAATATATCGAATATAAATAAAAACATTGCACATATTTGCTAAATAATATAAAAATTTTTTTTTTTTTTTACAATAAATATTGAATCAACATTAACACATTTGACATACAACCCGTATCCATTAAATTGTAATACATTCACGTGTTCGCAAAGACAACATAAAATGTCAGATTTGTATCATATAAAAAGCAATATTAAGTTGTTATTGATATTGTTACATAAAATATATATATAAATACATATTGATTTATTAAATTTTTTTTATTTTTACTTTATTTTAATTGATAAGAAATATAAGAAATATAAGAAATAATCTTCATTATGATATTCAATAATCAATATATTGTTGGAACATTTAATATAAAAGAATAAAGAAAGTAATTTTTTATAATTTTTTTGTCAATAAAGTAAATTTTTTTTTATATGTTAAATATAATTTTAAAAAAGAATTTAATTAAAATATTTGAAATAGAAATAATTAAATGATTAACTGATATGGTATCGATACAGTCGAAAGCACCCAATAAGAGATTCAGTTTTACTTTAAGAGTTTTCAATCTATATTGTATAGATTCATATGAGAATATTCGTAACTGAAGACTCATGAATTGGCGCGCAGCGTCTTATTCTGCGTGTTTTTGATATTATATCGTGCAAATGGTGGCTTTCGGAATGTTTTGTTCAATGTTTCTTAAAAATTAATGAGTCTCATTGTACGTCGTGTATAATAGGAATAGAAATAGCGTTTGCTGTTTACTTCTGAACTTGTAAAAGTTTGTCGTCAACATGGTGAAGCTTCATAAGAAATTTTTTGCGGGTGACAAGGTTTTCGCAAAAGTTCGAGGTTATCCACCGTGGCCAGCAAAAGTAAGTTCTGTTATAGATTTTATAATTATTTTTTATATTTATGATGAAATTAATAATAATGAATATTTATATCAAAAATATTAATGATAGTAACATTTTTAATTTTAATCTTATTATTTTTTTTTTTTATATTGCGGTATTTTAAAACACGATATTGATATTAATATATTATTTAAAATCATGTTTATACGCAAAAATATATGATAATTTATATACATATATATCATATCAAAGAAATAGTAAATTATAAAATTTTTTTAAATTATAAGTTACAAAAACTAAATTATAAAATTTAAAAATTTAAAATATTTTTTAGAATTTTGAATAAAGAAAAAATTTAATTAAATTTAACAATTTATAAATGAATATATTTTATAACATAAATAATATCTTTTTTTTTTTAGGTTGAGAAAGTTATTGATCCTAATTCAAAAAATTCAAAATATAGTGTTTATTTTTATGGCACAGGAGAAACGTGAGTTTTTTTTTTATTATACTATATAATTTTAATTATTTTATTTTTATATATAAATTGTGAAATAATGTAGAAATTATAT